GACCACTAGAGCCAGCATCTCCTTCTCAGTCACTGTGTAATTAGCTTGTGTAGAGTCAAAGGTCTCGCTTGCATCACACATGAGTTCAAATGGTAATTCCCAATTAAGAGCAATTGAGATGGGATCCTCAATCAAGTTCCTCTTCAACATCTCGAAAGCTTTCAAACACATCTCATCAAAATCAAATTTCACCTCCTTCTCCAAAAGACAGCACATAGGTCTCGTAATTTTTGAAAAATCCTTGATGAATCTCCGGTAAAAACCTGCATGACCAAGGAAACTTCACACCCCTTTTACAGAGATAGGAGGGGGAAATTTCTCAATAACTTCTACCTTGGCTTTATCAACCTCTAATCTCGACGTAGACACCTTATGTCCCAACACTATCCCCTCTCTAACCAAAAAATGACACTTTTCCCAATTTAGCACTAAGTTAGTGTCCTCACACCTAGCAAGTACTTTATCAAGATTGCAGAGACATACCTCAAAAGACTTCCCAAAGACAAAGAAATCATCCATGAACACCTCTACAAAGTCTTCCACCATATCATGAAAAATGGCCATCATACACCTTTGAAAAGTCACTAATGCATTGCAAAGTCTAAATGGCATGCGTTTGAAAGCATAGGTACCATAAGGATAAGTGAACGTGGCCTTTACCCCATCCTTGGGTGCAATTAAAATCTGGTTATATCCAGAATACCCATCTAAGAAACAATAGTACTCTTGCTCTGCTAGTTGGTCAAGCATCTGATCAATGAAGGGAACCAGGTAGTGATCTTTTCGGGTGGCATCATTCAGCTTCCGGAAATCCATACAAATCCTCCATCTGATCACTATTCTAGTAGGAATCAACTCATTTTTCTCATTCCTTACCACTGTCATACCTCCCTTCTTGGGAACACACTGCACAAGACTTACCTACTTACTATCAGAAATCGGGTACACAATTCCAACATCTAACCACTTTATTACTTCCTTTCTTGCCACTTCTTTCATCAAAAGATTTATCCTACGTTGATGTTGTGCACTTTGTTTGTGTTGTGCATACATAACGCCGGACTAATCCCATGAATATGAGCCATCTGCCATCCAATAACTCTCTTTCTCCTCTTTAGGACCCTCAATGGCGCATCAACCGTGAGTAGGCAGAATTTTTAGTTCCAACTTAGGAGCTTCTTCGATAGAAGGTTTGAGTGGAGGCCCTAACTCACAATCTAATAGCTCTACTCTCCGCTTATGTATCTCTATGACTACCAGATTCAAACAAGTCTCTATCTCTTGAGTCTCAGTATCTCCATCTACATCATGCCCCACTAACACTCTTTCTAAGGGATCCTCGGGCATAATTAGTTGCATTTCTACATCATGATCTACAATCGTAATAGTGGACAACTCCTCATAGATGAATGGTAATTTCAAGGCACGGTAAACATCAAACACCTCAACCTTATCATGTGCCCTCATAGTTAACTGCCATACTGCTACATAAATTAATGCCCGCCCCGTAGACAAGAACGGATGTCCTAGAATGAATGGAACTTCATAATCAGGTTCAAAGTCTAAGACCACAAAATCCACCGGAAAGATCAAGGAACCTACTTGTACGAACACATCCTCTACTACCCCCCTCTAGCCTAGCAATGGACCTATCAGCGAGTTGTAGAATGACAGTGGTTTGTTTTGGACTACCCAACCCAAGATTTTTATACAATGACAAGGGCATAAGATTAATACTAGCACCCAATTTACACAACCCTCGGGCATTAACACTTTTTCCAATTGTAATATGCAAAGTACAACTACCCGGGTCTTTTAATTTCTTGGGTAATCTATTCTGAATTCTAGAGCTGCACTCCTTAGTAAGTGCTATAGTTTCATACTCCGTGAGCCTCCTCTTGTTAGCCACTATCTCCTTCACGTACTTACCATACTTCGAAATACCCTGCAAAATGTCAACCAAAGGCGGGTTAATGTGGTACTATTTAAGGAGAGATAGAAACTTACACTACAAGAAAATGGGTCTTTAGAGAAAGAAAATTAAGTCTCTAAAAGTGTAAATCCAGTCGTTATTAGTCACTTACGATTGGAAAAAAATTGGTCGTCTCCCGTTGTTAGTAGCTCCGACGTTAAAAGTGGACGACCAAATTCTAGTCTGGTCGTTAAGAAATATTTAGTGACGGCAGAAAAATTGGTCGTTGTATCTCTTTTTGCGATAACTTTTTCCTTTCGTTAATTTTTATTTTAGTCGTAAATAACTTCAGAAAGAGATATTATAGGATCTTTTAAAGACCGGAGTCCTTTCGTTAATTTTTATTGATATTTAAAAATAAAAAAATATTATTAAATGAAAATTAGTTACATTTTGCCCCTTGTGATTTATAATTAAAACCATTATTTCATATGTAATTGTACAAAATTTCACAACTTATAAATAGAGTCAATAATATATATAAATGGCTGATAATATATATAAGCATGGTACGTAGTTAATTACATAAAACAAAGAGGTTTTAAAAATCCTACAAAAAGGAAACTAAGAATCTAGAATATATATGTAGAGATCGTAATTAGTATTTTTAAGCAAATAGCCTAGTTAATAAGTAAAGTAGGTTTAATAAGCTTCTTGCACTTCAACTAATTGCAAGCTATATAATAAGTAAATTAAAGTTGGTTTAATTAACTTCTTGCAGTGCAACTTGTTCATCTACTAACATCTTCGACTGTTTTTCAACTCACTCCAAATTTGTAGATCCTTCGTGACTTCAAATTCTTGACCATCTGTTGCAAGGATAAAAGCTTGCATCAGTTAATTAAATAGTTCAATTTGTATGTTGCTGACACATAAATGACGATTGTATAATTATTTTCTCATAAAAATCTAGATTGTAAGAAAATACTTTGTTTCACAAGAAAAAATCAGCAAGTATATTTTGACCTGTAAATATTTTTGACAGCACCTTAATTCTTAATAATACAATACTCATTCTAAAAAGAGAAACAATTAATCAATGCAAGAACATTGAAAGAGGAAATGATGACTTGTATAGTAAAGAATTTTGATAATACTTTCTCCAGTGTGCTAACTTGGGTGGGCGCATTTCTGCACTAGGTCTGGTAAAAAATAAATCAGGTGCATAAATGTTGAAGTTATTTCCTGTTACTGCTCATAATGTACTTCTGTATTCACCTTATTTTTGTATCCATATTCAAATGCATCTTAGTCCAGTGTGGAATGATTTATAGTTTCCATCATCTTCTTTTATTGGACTTTGACGAGTATTCAAACATCAAAGGGACAAAGTCTATGGGAAAAGTAGAAAAAATGTTCAAGCATGGCGATTTTCCGAAGTGCAAGTACTGCAACATGTATTAGAAATGCTCCTCTCTTAATAAATGTAAAACCTGTTTTAGTAGAAAACTAAGGATAGTATGAAAACTAAGGAGTTCAGTAGTTACTGTGATCTACAATGGGAATATTTTCTAAGCCATTCAAAACTTTGTGAATTCTCTCTAATTGGTTGATGAGTCCTGAAATCTGGAAATTTTGTTGTCAATGTCATGCTGTCTATGAGCACTTTTTATGTAGATATACCCTTACATGAGCTATATAGATCCACAGAAGGTTGTCCCTTGTATTACAGTTATTGGATACAATGGTGTTCAACTATGGAAACATGATATGGTCAGCTTATACATGTTAACAAGCTTACTAAACTGAAAAATACTTTGTTTCAGAGTAACAAGCTTACTAACCTGTAAAATGATTCAATCAGTATTTTGTTCACTTGATGATGGTGGTGATGAAGGATCTCTAAAGATTGTACTTTCAAACATTTCACATCTCTTCTCTATGTTATCCATGCATCTTTTCATTGATTCATTTTCTTTCCGACTCGCATTCAGTTCTTCTTACAGTGCAGGCTTTTCCTTTCTACTCACATTTAGTTGTTCTAACGGTGCAGCTTTTGCAGAGCTACCTCCTTTCAAATCTTTACTGGTAATCCCGCCACCAAATCCAACAATATGACTCTTGCTCTGAGGTCTGAAGCATCTCTCTACTACCTCAATATTAGTAAGTGATGGCTCAACTTGTAGTAGTTCCTGAATTTCTTCCTGTAAAATACAAGAAAATTTAAAGAAAGTGCAATATATTAAGTAAAAGTATGTAAAATAAAATTTTAAAATGAACATACATATTTTTGATTGGTTTCAGGTTCGAGAAGCTTGTTGTCCTTCTTACGAGTCTCAAAGAAGATAGTCGCCATGTCCGGTGGATTACCATGCTTGCCTCCCTTAACATTCAAACAAGAAGTCATATACTTGAAATGAAGAGGACCTTTCTTAATAGGTTTAGAAGAATCACATACGTACCAATTCATAAATTATCTCTCTAATCGTCTTGCTACCCGTATGATGAGGCATACTCAACTTAGACCTGTTCATTGCATTTCGCGTACTTGTTTCCTATATTAACATCACATCAGCAACATTATGATACACAATTTAAATGGTTGGTTAATAAATATAAGGTATGTTTTGCTGTATTGCTGGAGACCAAAGTCAAATAACACAAATTCAAAGCAAGTATAACAAGAGTGGCCAAGGGATGGAATCATGCTAATAACTATGCTTATGCAGCTAATGGAAGATTCTATGGAAAGCTACTGATGGTTATTCTGGAGACTCATGGTCAGTATAGTCATTGCTCTGTTACTGACAACCGAACAGATTTCCATAGTGAAGTCACAATTGTGTACCAGAGTACTTGTAGTGTGGAGCGACAAAATTTATAGACAGAACATATTTCAACACTCCCTTATTGCCAGAGGATCGCATTGGGGGACAACCAGTTGCGGATGTACAACTATTTGATACTTATGCTCTAACTGATATGAAGGCTATGTTAGAACAAAAATACTCAAGAAACTGATTTGAAGAATAAAAATAGAGTGAACTTATAAAATTCCAGCTATGTATTAATTTTGCATAAGATCTGAATTTATACAAGGAAAAACCTAACCATCTCCTATCTAGTTGCCACTTACAAAGTGGATGTTAAAACTAAATAAGAACATGTGCCACTAACAACCATAAAAGGGGCCACTAACAGCCATTAAAGGGGCCACTAAC